CTATGATTCTATGATTCTATGATTCTATGAACCAAGGAAGTATGCAACTAGGGGGAAAAAATTCTGGAGAACATGACAAGGAATAAGAGCAAGTTAAATCAGCCAAATTAGAACAGTGGCAATTTGTTACCACCATAAATACAAATAAGAATTATTTGGGGAATTTATTAAACTTTGATTGAAAAGAAAAATTCACCAAGAAATCTGAGAATAGGTAAAATGTACAGAAATATTTTAATTATCATAAATATGGACCTGTAACCAAAACCAGAAGAACTGTTATATTTGGTGTAAATGATGCATTATATATAGGGTGCATGTTATGCTGTCTTTAGATTTTAAAACCAGGTGGAAAAACTATGGGTTCAAGCATACAAGAAGCCCTTAGCCAAATTTCATGTAACTTGCAGAGAAGGAGAGGGTTAGGGAAGGAAATGGATATATGATTGCTTAGTGTGTATGTGTGTGTATGATAGAATTGGAAGAGACCACAAGGGCCATCCAGTCCAACCCTCTGCCATGCAGGAACACAGACGCAAAGCACCCATGGCAGATGGTCATCCATGTGTATGTATGTGGTTGTGTGTGTGAGACAGAGAGATGAATCTGTATATACACAATGGAGAAAAAAGAAATAAATGATCCATATTTAATTTCACATTAGTAAATTAAGTTATCACATCTTGCAATAATGAATCCCAAGGGGTGTTTACTCATTACATTTAACACAGGTAAAGACTGCCTAATTGACTTTGCCTACATATGTAAACTTTGTATATTTTAGTTTTTCACCTATAACTTTCAACCTGTATACATTAGTTACTCATCTATATGCTGATACAGATATTAACATGTCTATAGGTTTACATTGTTGATCAATTATTATTCAAGCTTCTTGATTAAAACACACAAGAAATGAAGAATGTTAAGGTCTTTTGTAGATTTTTTTTAAAAAGCAATTTTTCCTAAAAGTACCGTTGTGGAGCTATGTCTTGGTAATCTGGTAGAACTTGGCTAGGCTAGTGATCTCTGGTTAGTTAAAAATCATTATAAATTTCAAAACATGTAGTGTGGTTATTTTTATTTTACCTATCTGTAAAAACACTATTATGCTATTTCGTAGATGGAATAAAAATTGTAATCGAAGTCCAAAGTATTTGCCAGTAAGAATTTATTTAATAAAGGAAGAAAAGAGAGGAAAAAAGCATTATGACTAATTCCCATAACTATTTAATTTTAGGTTTAAAGGAGAAGGAAAAGGACAGGATGGAGTCAGACGAATCATATATATATTTAAACTCTCAGCTTTGTCTCCTGCTAAACAGCATGGGCTAGACTGCAATTCTAGGCTTCATCCTTGCCTTCCGGGAGCTCTTGGACAACCGCTGTGTTGGGGATATTCTGTCCACCACTATCTTCTCTAGTGAGTGATTTTTATTCACACTCTCCCTGTGCTCTCCTTTATCAAATCTTCCATTCTCTGTCAGAATTGCTGCACACATACATTCACAATATCCTCCTCAACATTTCCTATGGTTGCACTTTGGGGTTGTAGATGTTGGAGGGGGCCACACTTTACATCCTTCCAGAAGCTAAACAAGTCTTCCTCAATTCACACAAATAAGTGCATGTTCATTTTACCCAGGCACATTTGATGAGTACCCTGAATTTAAGAGGATGCTTGTACCTGGGTGCAAATATGAATGAACACAGAGAAATACAAGCATCTGAACAAATGTACATACAGTGTGAACACATGTACAGTGTAACGTGTTTGTGATGAAAATATAGCTTGAGCAACAAACAGAGAAAAAAATATCTCAGCCAGCATGTGGTTGGTGGTATATTCAGCATTAATTGAAGGTGTGTGCGTTACTTTCCAGAAGAAGGTATCTACTACCTCTTGCTGCAAGGTCCCCACCTCGGCATGCAATAGCCAGAGAGCTGCTACACAGATCCATCTCCCTGACCAACGGGCTTGTTCCAGCTGCTCTTGAGAAACAAGGAAGAATCTGTTTTCACTGTTGGTTAGGACCAGAGCAAGCAACTGGGCAGATGGTGCAGCATCCAATGATTCCTAATAGAAACTTTGCCAGTATGAGATAGAATTTCAGCCTTAAAAGTGTAGAGTCAGCAAGACATAGTGGTCTGAGTGATGGACTGGAGACCAGGGTTTGATTTCCTACTCAGCCATGGAATCCACTGGGTAACCTTGGACAAGTCACATGCTCTCCACCTGAGGGGAAGGCAATAGCAAACCTCTTCTGAACAAATCTTGCAGAGAAAACCCTATGATAGGGTCACTGTAAGTCAGAAACGATTTGAAGCCACACAACACACAAAGCAAATGAAAATATCCCTTCACCCTGTTATTGTTCTGTGCCATCAAGTCATTCCCAATCCTAATCTTAAGGTGAACCTATCACTGCTGTTTTGTTTTGTTTTTTGTTTTTTTGACAAGATTTGATCAGAGGGGGTTGCTTTCCTCTGAGGCTGAAAGAGTGTGACTTGCCCAAAGTTACCCAGTAGGTTTACATGGATTCAAACTATGGTCTCCTGAAATCCTAGATCAACATTCAAACCACTACACTATGTTGGCTCTACTTCTTTTCATACTACACTGTAATCTGGATAATAAAAGGTAATCTATAATGGCAATTAATAGGAATTGTAGGTGTAGCTTAATACATGGAATATTCCTCAACCAAATAACCCATTGAGTGACCTGCTTTTTAGTACAGTTGCCCTCTGTTCTCTTGAGATCCGCATCCCTCGCCTATCTGTGGGTGGTGAACGGAGGGGCATAAAATGGGGCGTGCACCTCCATTCAAGCCTATGGTGCTTGAATATATGCAATTTTCCTTTCTTGAGGTGGGGTCCAGAACGGATCACCCATGAGAAAGGAGGGTTGACTGTATTCACCTTCTAGCTTGGAACAGTTTGGGGATATAAAGGCTGAAAGCCTAAATCATTCCATTGTAGTATAAGTATCTGCCAGAGGAAGTACACTATGCTAGTACTATACAGTCCTTATACTGTATACCACCATAGTGCAACATATGAGAAATGGTGAATTGGCATACCTATGACATTATTGCTCAATGAGCAGTATGCAATGAACAATGTGTATTTGACGTACCATATTACTCTTGGTGCATTATTGCACATCTGAAATAGTTCTATGTGGGGAATTCTGCTCCCATCACCATCAGCTGGACACATTATTTCTACATTGTCCAAAAAGGTTGTTCTGTGTGCATAGTGCTACTTACACCTCTAAATGTCATCAACAGGATTCTGGCCAATATTTCACTGTTTTAAATATACTTAGTTGCAAAGCTAACTGTTTTCTAAAGATGTGGGTGTAAAACAGGAAAAAAGCATTTGTTCAGATCCATTCTGCCTATTTTGTGTAAAAAATTCATTTAAATATTCATCTAATTTGATTCTAGATTGCTGCAGATACAAAGGAAACCAAATCTTGGTTAGAGTCTACACAATATCAAGATCTGCACACAATTAAATAGCATATAAGATGAGACTCATGAGACAACCACTGCAATGGAGGATCAAAGTGTCGTCCGTCCACTGATCGCAATCTACTTCAAAGGTGAAAATGGTGCAGGAATCAGGAGCATGTTTTGCTGAGATGTCAAGAACTGAACATTCTCCCGTACTGAAAGTTTAGGATGACACTGGATTAGAACAGCATATAAGGAATGTTGGTCAACACACAGAGACACATGCAATCATTTCTTACCAGCAGCTACCACCCTGGCATCTTCATGGGCAGTATGCCTTCCTGCTGCACGGCTGTCTGGGTTCTCAAACCACCAAAGCACTTGAACTATATCAAAGCAGAAGCAAAAAAGGTGAGCTCTAAAAGGCATA